GGGTATATGAAGCTAAACTACCGGCCCTCATCCTCTATCGATTGTTTGAAACTCATGAGAATGACCACTTGATAAATCTTCAGCCCTTTGTGAAGCTTCCATACCTTAAACCTGACTTGATGAAGCAAATGTTGGAGAGCCGTGGTCATCAAGCCAAACAGGTTTATGAGTGGTTGTCATCTTTGTCTACCCTATCAGAAGGCAAGGAAATGAAGCCGTTTTCCTATGAAGATCCTAATTTAAAGAAAAACAGGAGAAGCAGGTCCTTTAACTTCACTACCTCTGGTGATAATCCACTTAGTGCTCAGGGTGTTGAAGTAGGTCAAAGGTTGCTGGACACCTTAACACAAAGGGAGCAGAATATTATGCAGAAATTCGCCTCGGAAATGAATGACGAAACACTCACTGGAAATTTTCTGAGGCCCTTTTCGCTTTCAGATGTTTCTCCTGACACAAATACTATTTCAGCTGAAATACCTTCTAGCGAGAAACCTAGTAAGGGCACTGAAACACCACCAAAACCAACAATACAGAAAAGTAGTCTTCCAAAAGATTTAGCAAAAGTCTTCACCAGCATTGGACAACGCAATCTGCTAAAGGAACAGAAAAATGCGATTGCGGAAAAGGATTTATAAGTGCTTGAGAATTTGTTATGGCTTTTAACACTTAAAGTAAACATTTACCGAGAAAACCCTATTTTAAAATGTTATCGATTTTGGAAAAGGGGTACGCATTTTTAGGGCGTTCTAGTTTAAAATGCAACACTTGTACAGGTAAAATTTCACCCTTAGGAATGTTCACTTTCCTTTTCCTTGATCGTCATTTCGTCCTATTGGGACTTTCATTTGGCCTGTTAAGTAGTCGATGAAAACCTTTTTATATCAGAGTATTATTGTTAATAGAGGCGAATCTTGCCCAATAATGACCTACTTTATCTCCAAAGGCGAATTTTATCTACATCGTAATTAATAAAACACTGAAAATTTTTCACTTTATTTATTCTGTAGAAATCAAAAATGATATAAAGTCTATAATATAAAGGAAAGTGCAGATTTAAGGAACTTTTCAGATGTCACTCGAAGTATTCCAAAGTTAAATGTATTTATATCAAATAGCAGGCGTTTTGATAGTTTCACTAGCCCTTTAGGTGACTTCAGGCTTCATAGAGGAGAAGAATATCAAAGTGAACAAAATTCGAGAGGGGGGAGGAATAGAAGAGTGTTTCAAAAATGTAAAAGAGACAGACACAAAGGTCGAAAAAGGTGAGGTGAGTACTGTGTAAGTGGTCGAATATGACATACAGTGGGGTCATGGTAGTTAGAAGTCAGAAGTCAACTGCCAGTTAATAGACTTTTTGCCGTATGAGTATACGTTGCCCAGGGTGCACCACGTGGAGGTAAGTCTATCGCACACCTCTTAAATGTAGTATTTCCCGATGAACAATAGTTCATGGTCTTGAAATTATTAGAACTTGTTTTATCCTTTTGAACCCATGAATGTCGTAAGTTATAAATCGAGCTATACATTACTGCTCACATTTACTAGCTAGGGAACAAAATGAAATTTAAGGATGTCAATCGTGATCATCATTTTGTTTGCTCTTAGGATCATGATGACTGTAGATTGAAATCCTATTGTCCGTTTTTCACGAAGGAAGGTTTGCATTAATATTCAAGATGTGGCTACACTTTGTGATAGCGGAAGAAGGTGCCCTTTAAGGTAATATCATTCACATTGACACCATGGAGAAAGTATTAAAGGAAACCTTTTCAATATTCATAAATTCCATCACTAGTATGAACTAAATATGCAGGCAAAAAGTTAATCTTTCCAATGGCCAATCATTACAGTCGGTTGTGGAGATGTTGACACTAAAAGAGGTGGACTTTACTCTGAGTAAATGTATGACTTTTCGTTGTAAAAGTGAGATCATTTTAGACAGAATACACATTAACCACCTCCATCAAATTTCGCTTCTGAGAATTCCACAATGTGAAGTGAAATGATTATTCACAGTTAATACTTTTCTTTAATGTGGTTAGGTGACCATGAAAGCGCAACTTACAAGCATTGGCACAATAATGCTGCACAATAATAATGTTTTCTTTGGTAACCCTGCTCCCAGTTTCAGGTCATACGAAACCTCCTTAAGAGACATTGTGATTTGATCATGTCTCCAATGCATCAATGTTTTTATATAAATGGCAGGCTTTCTGATAGTTATCAATAGCCCTTTAGTTGAATTCAGGCTTCACAGAGGGGAAGGAACATCAAAGTGGAAAAATAGTCGAGAGGGGGGGGGGGGAACAGAAGAGTGCTTCAAAGACGAAAGTAGAAAAAAGTTGAGGTGAGTACTGTGAAAGTAGTCGAATATGGCATACAGTGGGGTCATGGCAGTTTGAAGTCAGAAGTCAATTGCCCATTGATAGACTTTTTTGCCGTAGGAATATATGTTGCCCAGGGTGCACCGCGTGGAGGTAAGTCTATCGCACACCCCCAATGCATCAATGTAGTTTTTTTGTATAACATAAAGCTATTTGAAGTGCACCTGAAGTATTTCTTGTGAAGTTGGACAAACATCTTGTAACAAATGATTCTTGCCAACTTTGGAAGATAACTAGAGTCTTAAGGAGAATATTTTTCAATCTTAAAGGCGGACTCAAGTCCAATTTTTCTATTTGTGATAGACATTGTAAATGGGGTGGAGTGGTTATGGGGAAGTTAGATATTCCCGCTTTAAATGATATATTAAAAGCAAAGAAAAGTATTTTGCTCGTTTGGAAATGAAAGCGGAAAGGAACACCCTCAAAGTACGTAAGTAAACTGAACAGAATTGTTCATATTCTATCATATATATGGCGGGCTTGGGACCTAAAAACAGCAACAATTCAATCAAAAACAACCCCAGAAGTCTGATCAAATTAAGCATTGCGTCCTTCTCTGAACCAATAACCTTTTTGCGCTTAAATAAGGCAACCTAAAATAGGATTTTGTGTTGATAGATGAGGGGGGTGGAGAGATTGAGTGAGGGAGAAATAACTGGAAGAGGAGACTGGGAATTCTAATTGAGCGATTATTGTCGGCAGACCAACCTAGGGCTCACTATGACAAGTTGATTAATTAGTGGCCTTTCTTTGTGCGATTGGGAACTAACAGAAGGTCATCTGACAGTTGGGCGCAGAGTCGTGTATGAGCTGGATAAGATGTTATCAGGGTTTTTCGAATTTACGCCCATCCGAATATGCGCCCGTGAGCGCTTATGTGTACTTTCAAGATAAACTAATTCACGTTGATCTCTCTACTGCATAAGCAATAAAGTGGGATCTAACAGTAAAAGCTTCCTCCGATATACGATTTCCGTCCAATAATTTTGACATTGCAACTGCATAAAAGGAGCGTTTATTGTTCTATGATAATAAAGTTGGAGGTGTAGGCACTTAGGAGATGTGAAAATTTCTACACAAAAGGGCATAAATCTTTTCTATGACAAGTCAGACAGTGAAGGAATTTTGTGCCCAGCATTAATTTGCCAAACACAAATTTTCCAAATTGCCTTTTCGAATAATATTTAGAACGGCGGAAGTAAGGAGAAGTGAATGAACGCTTGATTTCGAAGAAAGTAGTCGATTTAATTTCATACAACAAATGTGCAAAACTGCAAATCACAGATCTCATAAAGGCAGCAGCTCTTATTCCAAGTTCCTTTTAGCTAAAACGAGGCTAGATATATGATTTAACTAATACGTTACCCATGTTTGATTATTAATTACCTGCATAAAGTGGTAAAAATGAGTGCCAATCTCTATTGAGAATGACCGATAAATAGTAAAAGTTTTTTACCCAATTGCAAACTAAGCTCAAACCGACAAAGACTGCTTTGAACATTTTCAATTCACCAATCCTACTTCTAACAGTTTAGTTTCTTTTTGTTTTCCAATGTTTTTAATTTTGAAAGCTTTTCATCTTCCTGCCTCACTTTGAAGCCACCAATGTTCAATCATTTATTTTTAATTAAATATGGCAACTTAAGTAGTAATTACCCGTCTAAATAAGATGAGCTTTCATTCTACTTGAGACTTGACAGCATTTATTTCTGTTGTCGGACTTTTTTTGGCGTTGTAATTGATCGAATTAGGACAAATTGGGAAATGGTTTGGCGCTTAACCATTTGTTATTTCGGGGTTTTAAGGTGCTGAATATGTAAAATGGTTTAATTATATCGAACCCTGGAATAAAATGTGAATTGAAGTGACAGGACAGCGTGTTATGACTGAAATGTTTGCCAATAAGTACTGGATATCACAGACAGTCATTTGCCTCAACACATGGGGCTTAACATGGAACTTGAATTTTAGGAAGTTAAGAATCCATTTAGTAAATGTTGCACAAATTTAACTTATGAATGAAAAAGTGAGGCTCGTTATCACTTGCACATTTTTCTCCACATCTTCTCATTCACAAGACAAACTAACACCAAATACTTCCTTTTTAAAGCACTAGCCATAACAGTTCTCTACTTCCCAACGCTTAGCTTATTAACAATTGCTTTAGTAAAATTAGGAGGATCTCCATGATATGAAGTTCTTGTTCCTAGTTAATCACCTAGTATTCTCAGTTCACAATATTGAGCAGGCAATGAAACAGAAATGAGGTATGTCAGAAGGTAGTGAGTGAAAGCGTTATATTACAAAGTGAAGAGAAGCGATATTATGAAACTGGAAATCATAATCAGTAAATAGATACATTTAACGCCGTTTCAAATGAGCGTGAATAGCTTGTTAGCTGAGAAAGCCTCTGAAAACAGAATCACGCTTTCCAGAAAATTATAGTTCTCGCAAGATTCCAACGATCAGTCTTGGTAAGGTTGTGAATTCTGACGCCTGGCGATAGTTCCAGGGACTGGCTTCTTTATTCGACGACATAACGAATGCCAATTAATTGGAAACGTAACTCCATTTGACAAAGGCGTTCGTAATAAGTATTATTTCAGGTGAAGTACTTCGTTTTCGGGATATTGTAACACGCCTTTTCGGCTTTGGAAAACAGGAAATATGTTAATGCTTTCACAGGACTAATTTACATAGACATGCTACACTAGAGCCTTTTATGGAGTCAAATGAATACGATATATGCATGCTAAATAGGATTCGTTTGACATGGAGTATACAATATCATTTGGTTCGATTGGGAAATCAATTGGAAATATTTGTAATTTTCATTTAATTGCAAATTTGGCGATGATTGATAAATCTATTCATGAAATTCCTGCCACAAAATGCACGTGGCTTAATTAAAACTAGGATGATATTTCAATGTGAAGCAGAAAAGAAATATATTCTTTGAAGTCTTCCCAGCAAAGCTAAACATAATCGATTGCTTTATCGATTAGCATAATGTAATGGCAAGCCAATAATAATTACGGTAAATATATTTAGTCCGTTTCAGTATTAGTTATTAGCTAAACAGACCTGTTTTCTATTACTGCGAAAAAAAGATATTTTTTGTTCATTTTGCTTAATCTATTCTGACAAATCTGGACGATTTGCATCTTTGAAGCGATTAACGTATTTGTTCAATTTTTATTTTATGCTTTATATGGTTATTCCAAAGCCCCATAATCACTGTTAATCTCTTA